AAGCTGGTCTCATGACTAGCGCTGGCCATCCCTGCCTTGTTACTACGTATACACTGAGATCAGCGAGATGTCAATATTGACACCGCATTCCTGGAACAAAGGATTCTACAGAAAAACAAGTGAAAGGGAGGAGGAGGCTCCAAGAATTAGGAAGAGAAACATCTGTTTAGTTTGATGTCAAGCCTTGCTGAAGCACTAGTGTGTCCATCTTGATTTCCAGCCCTCTTTATGTTTCTATAGCGGTTTCAGAATGTCTTCCCAGAGGCAAGGATATAGACACCCCCTCTCTCGATGGATGAGTGTCAACATCATATTGCAAGAAGAGTACATGGGATGAGATCTATATCAGAGCAGCTGTCTTTGGAAAACACAATCTGCCATAACTGAAAACCACGGGATTACCAAACCATTGAAACAGCCCTTGAAAAGGCCACCTGTTTGTCACTAACAAAACTCATTCTGCAAGATGAGCTCAAACGTAATTGTCCCATCCTTTTGGAATTCCTCTTCGATGTCCCCCAGCTTCCATAGCCCTTCGTAAATATGCCCACTCTGCCATCAGGATGTTCTATTTTCAAAACATGATTGTAATCAGGCAGGTACTATCAACCTGTCAATTAGCCAAACTTCTTTTTCAAATCAATCAGTATAGCATAGGAAACATCACAATTTAAAAGAGTCTTCAGACTGATGGGGAAGTGACCCCTCAGGGGAGCCACAAGTGGTACTTTGCATAGAAAACAGAGCAGAGAGAAAACATCAGCAATTCTGAGAAAAACTGACATCAAAGAAAAATATATATATATATATACACACATATATACGTATGTATTTGTCCTACATTAAAGGTAGAAGGTATAGCAGTATAGTAAACGTCAAAACAACCTTCAGAATGAAGCAGCTGGGATGGAAGCATAGCCTAAAGCAGTGTTCTCCAACCTCACCTGCATCAGAATCACTTGGAGAGCCTGTCGAAACACCCCCAGAGCTGCTGACCCAGCAGGTCTGGGTCGGGCCTGAGAATCTGCATTTCTCACGAGTTCCGGGACGCCGCTGTTTGTGGTCTGGCACCACGCTTTAAGAACCACTAGCCTAAAGGTTTTTAGACCTGGAAGTAGTGGCCACAGCTGAAGCCCTGGCAAGGATGAAGGAACCAGAAGCGCCACAAGAGTGGTGGGCGGGGAAGATGACCCACGGGACGGAAGTGGCCTGATTTTAACAGACCCCATTTCTCCTGTTGGTCCCCCTGCAGGCCCGGGCACGCTCCAGCCATTGCACCGCGAGCCCGTTCCCCGCCCAAGGCTGACTCCGCCGCGCCGCTGCAGCCGCGGTAGCGACGCGCCCCCTCCCGACCGTCCCGGGTAATGTCATCCGAGAACGCACCCTCGGCCGGCCGGCCGAGGTGGGCGGGGCTAACCTCCCTTCGTGAGGCTGTTGGGAGAACGGACCTCGGAGATCCGAGTCCCCGCCCCCGAGCCGTGATTGGTCAACGCCGCCCGAGCGCGGTGACGTGAGGCCGGGGCGGAAAGTTTGTTTGAAGAGCGCGAGAGCTGGGAAGCCCAGGGTCGGCTACGTCCGGGAAAGGCCTTAAGATTGTTCCGCTGCCAGGCGCTCCTTGGGAAACGGGGGCTGCTTCCTCGCGACTTTTCGGCACTAGCCGCGTGTTAGTCGGAGTGCCTCTCTGCCTCCCTGGTGCTCAGGTGAGCGTCCGAGTGGAACCTCTGGTAGTGTGTGTGTTGGGGGAGGGGATTAATGTGCTCCTGGCCCCCAGACTGGAGAGGAGCGGGAGGAGTATGCTCTGTTTCCCCAGTGCTCCGAGGACAGTCTCTCGTTCCCACCACCCACCTTCTTAGCATTTGGGATCACTGGTCTGATGGTGCTGGGCCTCGTGGCTCTGGCTGATCAGTTCTCGCAACAAGTTAAAAGTACCTGCTGTGAGTTAAGCACAGGTAATTATGTCCCAGTACTTACGAGTGCCGGGAACAAAGCAGATGCGTGATTCCTATTTGAACTGAAGTGAACACAGCCCCTAAGGAAAGGACTCTACCAGGAAGACAGGTATTACGTGGCGTGACGGATGCTCACTTCGAGGGGTATGGGGAAACACTTTTAAGGGGTGACCTCTTTGAGAAACTGATATCTGACCCAAGTTTTGAAGGAAGAGGCAAAGAACTGAAAAGAATCAAAGCCTGTGAATTGACTGGCGACTGCTAGTGAGCCTCTGCAACACCCGCGGTAGATAGACAGTTGCCTATTCTTGCAAATAAATGGAAACCACACTGCAGGGTGTTGGTTCTTTTATTTTCATTAGGTACCGGTTTCAGAGAACATGACGGAGGAACTGGACCTCACAGGACAGGACTCTGATGTGGGTAGTGAAGAGGTGGTCCTAACTCCTGCAGAGCTCATTGAAAGACTGGAGCAGGTAAGCATTAATAATAGTGGTTATTTCACAGAGTCATTGTGAGGGGTAAATGAGATAATATATGTAGAATGCTTGCTTAGCATATTGTTTGACCCACGATAAGCACTCAGTGTTAGCTGTGAGGAGTAATAATCCTTACAACAACCCAATGAGGCAAGTATTACTGCCCAAAATGAACCAAGTCTCTTTGACTCCAAAATATCTGCTCTTAATGTACTACACCTGCTGCCTTATTCTTGCCTTCTCTCTTTAACAGCCCCTTTCTGGAATTCTCTGTTTATTACTCTAGTATTCTTCATTCTGTCCTACCATGCATGTCATCATGAGTGACAAAAGGAAGATAATTTTAAAATTATATCTTATATGATAATTCTTACTGTATGAGTAATTCTTCATTTGTATTTATAACACAGACCTTTCTGAAAAGCTGGTGAAAACTGGCCCTTTTTCCCAGAATATGTATACACACACATCCAGAAATTTTGCATGTAATTTCAGGAGATTCACAGACACCCTGAAATCTGCCCACCTAGTTTAAGAGCCTCTGCTTTATTAGGAAAGGATTCATGAAACAAAAATCCTAAAGCACAAAGCATAAAGGAAAAAATGGATACATTCAACTACGTTAAACTTGAGAACTTTTGTTTTTACACCTTGATGACAGTAAAAAGACATGCTGCAAAACTGGGAGAAAATATTTGCAATATTAGTATCCACACTATATAAACCAACTTTACAAACTACCCAGTAGAAAAAAATGAAGTCTTTTTTTTTTTTTTAAAGATTTTATCCATTTGACAGAGAGAGACAAAGTGAGAGAGGGAACACAAGCAGGGGGAGTGGGAGAGGGAGAAGCAGGCCTCCCGCCGAGCAGAGAGCCCGATGCGGGGCTCGATCCCAGGACCCCGGGATCATGACCCGAGCCGAAGGCAGACGCCCAACAACTGAGCCACCCAGGCGCCCAAAAAAATGAAGTCTTAACAGGCATCTCCCAGAAGTGGAAACCAGGATGGCTTACTGGCCATCATATGGAAAAGATGTTCAATCTTTTTAGTAATCAGGAACATAAAAATTTAAATCCCAAGGAGATACCACTTCATACCCATCAGATAGGCAAAAATGAAAAAGGTGAACAATATAAAGCAACATATAAATAAAACAACATAAAGGATTGTGGAGCCATTTGCACACTTGTTTACTCTGGTGAATTGGTGTACTTTGAAAAATAATTTTGTTATTGTCTTATCAAGTTGAAGGCACACGTATCTTGTGTCCCAGGCTTTCTACTCCCAGGTACATACCCTAGAAAAAACTTCCAGGAGGCATGCACAAAATGTTCATAGTATTGCTTGCAACAGTTAAAAACCAAAAGTAACCCAAATATCTGTCAACAATAAAATAAATAAAAATTACGATCTATACACACAATGAGAAAAAAAAAAAACAGCAATAAAATGAATGAAAGATAGCTCCTGCAACAACATGGATGACTGTCAAGAGCATGGTGTACAACAATAAAAAATAAGTTTCTGAAGAAACCACTTATGCTAAGCTCAAGCATTTGCAAAACTGTTCGAGGCAGAGCTCATGGCACATGCTGGTATGCTGCAGTGCGTCACAATGTTGACATCTGTCCTCTGGGACGGGGGAGCCCCCCAGACTGGTTGCCTCTCGTGGCCATGAGGGGCTCCTTGGAAGGCAGCACAGCTTCAGCTTGGCAGTGGGTGAGCAGGAGTTACATCTCGGGCCTGAAGCTCTGTTGCAGTGCCCTGAGTGCAGCCGAAGAGTTGGTCCATAGCCTGGACAGCTGCTGTGGCCGGAGCATAGCCTGAGGAGCCACCTGACAGCGCCCCTGATAATCACAGCTCCAGGAGCAGATAGAGGATACTCATGAATGCCTGTTAAAAAAATGATTTAAGGGGCGCCTGGGTGGCTCAGTCGTTAAGCGTCTGCCTTCGGCTCAGGTCATGGTCCCAGGGTCCTGGGATTGAGCCCCACATCGGGCTCCCTGCTCCGCGGGAAGCCTGCTTCTCCTTCTTCTACTCCCCCTGCTTGTGTTACCTCTCTCGCTGTGTGTCTCTCTGTCAAATAAATAAAATCTTTAAAAAAAAATGATTTAAAAGTTATTACCTACAGTGCAAAGCTTCTCACTTTAATAAATGTATTCGTTTGCTAAGGCTGTATAATGAAGCATCACAGACTGGGTGGATTAAACAACAGACATGTATTTTCTCAACTCTGGATGCTGGAAGTCTGAAATCAAGGTGCTAGCACCGTAGGTTTCTTCTGAGGCTTCTCTTTTGGGCTTGTAGATGGCCATGTTCTCCCTTGTCTTCACATGGTCTTCCATGTGTGTCTATGTTCAAATTTCCTCCTCTTAGAAGGACACCAGTCTGGGGTGCCTGGGTGGCTCAGTCGTTAAGCATCTGCCTTCGGCTCAGGTCATGATCCCAGGGTCCTGGGATGGAGCCCCGCATCGGCGGGCTCCCTGCTCAGCGGGAAGCCTGCTTCTCCCTCTCCCACTCCCCTTGCTTGTGTTCCCTCTCTCACTGTGTCTCTCTCTGTCAAACAAATAAAATCTTTAATTAAAAAAAAAAGAAGAGGAAGGACACCAGTCATTGAATTAGAGCCCACCTAATGATCTCATTTTAACTTAATTACCTCTTTAAAGACCCTGTTTCCAAATGCAGGCACATGTTGAGGTGCTAGGAATTAGGACTTCAACATACAAATTGGGAGTAGAGAGGAACACAGTTTAGCCCATAACAATGAACAGATTGTCATTAAAAATTTGGATCAGGAATCAGATGTAGCTATTTCAAACATAGAACCTGATTATTAAAAAAAAAAAAAAAAACCATGGATTTAAATGCAAGTTTCTCACTAAATATTTTGAAAACATTTTGTTTGAAAGTTTTATAATATAAATTTTTCCTAATGTTTTAAAATTTTTACCAAAATAATTTCATAATGTCAATGAGAAATCCCCCTCAAGTCTACCCCGTTTTACCCCAGTGTACCCAACAAGTGCTATCATTTTCTTTGAAATCATTGGGAATCATTATGTAGAAATACAAACAAATGTAGTGAGACTATAGAAAATTAAATACTAACATCAGGCTAATGATTACCTTTGAAGAGGGAGGAAGACACAGGGACTTTTAAAATAATGATAAGACTTGTTAATGAAGTTATGTGTACACAGGGATTTATCTCTCTATTCATGTTATATGTAATAAATATTTCTGTACCTATTCAGTATTTAATAAGATCAGTTAAAAAGAAAAACTGCTTTGTAAGTCCTCTATGACAGTTCAGTCTTTTCTCATTTGTAATGCTCCTTGAAAATACAGACTTTTCTTTCTAGTTAACTTTTACAGCACTAATATAGGAGCTTGAGCCCGTGGGAAAAAAATTTATGATAGTAGCAATACCTACTATTTAATAATATGTCTTCATGGTGATAATTGGAGACGCAGAGACTCAAGGATGTCGAAAGGAATAAAGTGAGCCTGATTGCCATGTAATTCTGAGCTTTGCTTGAAACTAACTGTAATTGAAAGACAAGATTAGTTTTCGTCAGTCACCTGTGGATATTTCAGTTCTCTAAGCCTTGGTAATTTCTGAAATGTACCAAATATCTGGGCCTGAGTCATAAATTAAGGATTTAACCTCTTGTTCCAAAACTATTTAATAGTTGATCCTTTTATATTATGATCCTTTATACTCTTAGGCAGTTAGTAAATAATCTGTTTTCTCATTAATAAGATAAGGATAACTGTATCCATTCCTCTCATATTATAATAATGAATGAAAAAATATTTGTAAAGTACTCTAAGCTTCCCAAATGAGATGTGTAGATATAGGTTACTTCATCTCTCAAAATAGAAGGGTGCTGGCGCCCCCTCGTGGGAAATGGCCCGTGAAGTCGTAGGATCGTGTTGATGCTATTTGGTGAAGGGTACTGTTTGAACACCAGGTGGTGTTGCTCTCACTAGTAGGCATCATACTGGCAACATTTTTTTTTTTTTTTAAATGGTATTAGGGAACTGCAGAGGCAAACTGACAAAATTTTTGAAGTGAACAGTGATTTTTTTTGCAATTTTGGCTAAATATAAAATTGTAAGCACAGCCTTCCCACTAAAAGAAATAGAAAAGCCATCATAAACATAGCTTGTTTACAAAGCATTTCCAGTATTTCCAACTCATAGGCAAATAATTTTCTTTGCCGGAAATAGCTGTGATTTTCACGGGATATGTACGAACTCACAGGGTTATTTTGCTCCATTGTGAATGATACTGATATATATATATTTGGCGGGGGACATTGATTGTGTTTTAGGCCTGGATGAATGAAAAGTTTGCCCCTGAGCTGCTGGAAAGCAAGTCTGAGATTGTAGAGTGTGTCATGGAACAGCTACATCACATGGTAAGAGTTGCTTATCTCGGGATTACAAAGGAGGAGAACTTTAAAAGGGTTTTGTCAGCATAGTGAGAGGTTGAAGTATGATACCAAATCTGTTTTGTTTGGCCCAGCCTAATGGGTTTTTTTAATATTGAATTAGTTACCTGCGTTTATAAAGCATGAGTATTCCTATGACTATCTGCACATCAGCTTCCCCTGAAAAGTCTAAAACCCTCTCAAATCTGGGCCCATGTTTCTATTAGAGAACAGCTGACCAGAGCAGGGTAAGGGCCATCCCCTTTCATGTGCTCTGTTCCCCACAGTCCCTACCTACCCACCTTTCTCAGATAGCTTGCCTGCCTAGCCCCCATAGACGCTTGAGTTTGTGACCTTCGGCTTAGATGGGCTGGGCTTAAGTCATTATTAGCCTCAGACTAGCTTTACAACATTGGTATTTTGCAGTTTCTCAATTGGTGATTTAACACTGCCCTTAGACATATCTTCTGTCTGCTATATTATCTCCTTTACAATTGGGCCGGAGTTCTTCTAGGCCCTTCCCACTCACCATATTCAGATTCTATTCAGATGGTTGTTTTCTAAAAGTAAATGAGTATTGTTTGAACTTTTTATAATGAGGCTGTAGTTTTTTGGTTCTCCTTTGACCTAAGTGTAGTCTTCGAGGGCTCAACGTTGCCGGTGATGGTGGTCCCTGTGCAGCTGTGCAGACTGAACGAGAAACGTCCTTCTTCTGAATACCATGTTTTTTATATACTTCATTTTCTCTTTTAATAGGAAGAAAATCTCAGGAGAGCCAAGAAGGGGGATCTGAAGGTCAGTATCCATCGAATGGAGATGGAGAGGATCCGCTATGTCCTTAGCAGCTACTTGCGGTGTCGGCTCATGAAGGTTTGACACGGAGATACCTATAGTTAGTGTTAAGGCAATGCAGTGTGTAATATGGACTGAGCGTCTTGGGGAGACATCGGGCTGGGGCCTGGGAGAATCCAGGGCCTGAAGATGCTGCAAAGCCCCAATATCAGGGTAGCTAAAGAATAAGGAGGGCAAGAGATTATTCTGGAGAAGCCTAGATGGAACATACATTGCACACCTCCGGGGACATATTTGTAGTCTTTGTCTGCTGTGTGAAAGGTGCCCCTGGAATTACAGCACAGAGGTGCTGCAGAGTCGTTTGCATTGGTTGACTAGGGAATACTGACCAGAGGCAAATAGTTTCAGAAATTATTTTGCAGCCATTGTGTAGCCAGTGTCAAATTGACCATGATAACTTGACATTCAGCCATAGTTATGAGGCCATCTAACTTATGAAAATGAAATTGCAAAACGTTCTTGTTTTATATGATGTTTATTTTAACTCGGAAAGTTCTTACTTCTTTGAAGTATCTTCTCATTTGGTTCCTCTTGTTCCCTTAGTTATTACAAAATGAATACATCCTCTTCTACATGAGAGTGCTCTCAAACATCTCAACCCTTTGTTTCCGTTTGCTCTCCTGGTTCTGACAAACCAGATTTATCCTTAAATCATACCACCTGCAGCTGAGTACAATATTCCATTTGTAGTTTGGCCACTTTTGTGAAAAACAGGATGATCACTTCCCTTATTCTGGATATTAAACTGTAGTAATGCCACCCAGTATCACATTAGTGTATTTCACAGACACATCACACTGTTCTTTCTGCACTTGCCATGAACTCTAACCTCTGAAGCTTTTGAGTTACCATTTTCCCATCTTGTCACTATCCTATATTTGAATGGTTTGATTTTTCGACCCCTAAGTGTGGGACTTGATACTTACCCCTCTTATGCTTCATCTTATTAAAGTGGGCCGTTTCCCTGTTCTCTGGATCCTGATCTTGTCATTTAATATATTAGCTGTCTCTAACATTTGATATCATCACCTTATGTCAAGTTTGACAAGTATGTCATCAAAGGTCTTACCTGATTCATTAGTAGGACTGGGCCAATGACAGGAGAGTCCACCAGAGACTTCCCTACAAGTCAACATCTGTCTGTTGAATCAGTGTCGTTTCTTCAGCTACTTCTGAGTCTATACTGATCTATACTCTCACAGCTCGGCTTTACACTTTGCCCCCAAGGATGTCATAACAGTGGTGTCATGTGTTTTGACAAAATGGAGATTAAAAAAAAAATATGCCTCTCCACCCCACCTTCAACTACCAGGCCACTTTTTTTTTTTTTTCTTAAGTTGGATAAATCCTCTTCATGTTAACCACTTAATTTTGAGTTCACAAACCAACTCTTAAATGATCTGTTCTAATATAATGCCACATACCCATGTGAAGGCCATTAATCTGTATTTGAAGGTTCCCCACCTTCTTTGTATTTTTGGAAGTTGGGAAATCGGCCCGCCTCTGCTATTTCTCACTTCTGTGAGCGCAGTGATTGTGAGACTGTGAGACTGCTTGCATCGGAGGTGCACTAAGTGACGGAGGGCAGTTGGCGTGCGCCAGCGCAGAGCGCTTCATGCTCCGAAACACCGCACAGACGTTCATTTATCCTGGAATGTAATTGGTCCAGGCCAAAAGACATGAACTCCTTTAAGCAGATAAGGGCTCCTCTGTCTTGGCCTGGGTCCTCGTCCCATTGTCATTTCCCTACTTACATTTCCTTCCACAGAGAGCCGTAACAGCACTGACTCTGAGTGGTGGCCTGATCCCTATGCAGTTCCTGACCACTTATCTTCATGTAGCTTTTAGCGTTTTATTTTTTTTTCTGTTTTGTTTGTGTTTTTTCCTGGTAGTTCTTATCATTTTTTCCTAGCCTTGCCTCACTGTGGACTTCATCCTTGCTGGTTATATTCTTACAATTAAGAGTCACTGTTGTCGGGCAGCTGGGTGGCTCAGTTGGTTAAGCGTCTGCCAGGGTCCCAGGGTCCTGGGATCGAGCCCCACATCATGCTCCTTGCTCTACTAGGAGTCTGCTTGTCCCTCCCCCCCTGCCCCTCCCCCTCGTCATGCTCTCTTCCTCTCTCAAATAATTTTTTTAAAAAGTCACCATTCTCTCTGCTTATGTATTCTATATGTGTCTTGCCAGCTTTTGTACATGCTTCATCTCATAGAACAACCTGTGCAATTGCCTAGAAATGTTAAATGATATCCCCTTCTCTCCCTCATTAATGTCATTTACAGTTACATTTTCATATTTTCTTTTATGAAAGCCTCTCATCCTTTTTAAGTGGTCTTCCTTTTTAGAGCCCTTATCTTTGCTCTGCATTCTTTGAAACCTGCCTCCTTGAAATCTTGGAAGTCTAGAAAGGGTCTTGACTGTGAAGACTTGCCATTTTTGAAGTCAATTCTAGGTTAACCTCAACCTATTTCAGAAAATTAGTATATTTGACTCTCGAATCCTGACATATTTACACAATGCTTTTTATTTATCCTCAGATAGAGAAGTTTTTCCCTCATATCCTTGAAAAGGAGAAAACACTCCACGAGGGGGAGCTGTCTAGCCTTTCTCCAGAGGAGCTGGTCTTTGCCAAACAGTGAGTAAGCAGGACGCGTGGGGACTGCTTTCTTTCCGTGGCTTGTGAGCATGAGTTTTGGTGGTTGTCTCCATGAAGCTGATGGCTGGACCACTGTTGTGTGTCTGACAGCCTGGCGGCTCCTGCCAGGAGGGTAGTCACAGTGATTTGAGTTCCTCTCTTTCAGGTACATGGCTAACACAGAGACCTACCTCAAGAATGTTGCCTTAAAGCATATGCCTCCTAACTTACAGACGGTGGACCTCCTGAGGTCAGGTGAGCAGAGCACTCTCTTTTCAGACCTATCTTCAGGTGCCTTAGAATAAGATCTTCATCTTTACTGTCTAGCCTGGAAAAATAAATATGTAGATAAGCAAAAAAGAGAAGAGAGGATGTCGTTTGGTTTAAAAACAAACAAAAAATCATTGCAGCTCCTGGGTGGCTCAGTTGGTTAAGTGTCTGACTTCCGCTCAGGTCATGATCTCAGAGTCCTGGGATCGAGCCCTGTGTTGGGCTCTACACTCAGCAGAGAGTCTGCTTGTCCCTCTGCCCACTCCCAATTCCTACTGCTTGTGCTCGCTCTCAAATAAATAACATCTTTTTAAAAAAATCATTAAAAGCAGGTGTAAGGGTAGCCTTTTCAGCGTTACTTTTGTGGTCTTTAGCTTAGGTTGAAATTCTTATGACTGTCATTAAAAATGCAAACTCATTCACATACGCAGTCATTCATTCCTTCAGCCAGTATCTACTGGGCATCCACACCGGGCTAGGCCCTTCTGAGCACTGAGGAGCAAAGGGGTCTGCTCTCAAGGGGCTAGCACACTTTTCCTCACAGATTCCAGTCCATGCAGGGACCATCTAGCTATCCAGAAGGAGTCAAACAGGAGGCTAGAGACCTTCAGTGACTCCCAGTCACTTCCCAGCCACCTGGAGGAAGGGCCCCCAATATTTTCGTTGTGTGGGGCATCTCATGGAAAGAGGGGCAGGGCTAAGAGCAGGAGGAGAAAGAGAAGGCAGCGGGGGGGACACAGCCAAAGCCACCTTTGTGCTCGCCTGGCACAGTCCCCTTAACATCCTGCTGAGCCGAGGGAAGGGAATTACGGTAGTCACTCTCAACCTCGGATGAGCCAGCTGGGGACCCCCTGACATCCAGGTCAAAGTCCATACCCCTCAGTCATTCATAGTGTGCCCTAATCCCAGCAGGACTTCATCAGGCAAAATTGCCAGACCAAATCAAACGGTTCTCCAGGGGACCGGGATCCACCTTGTTCACAGCCTAAATGTAATGCGCTGAGGCCACAAGTTCAAGTACAACTGAGCCCTGGGAATTGATCTCCCACCTAGCCTGTGCTGGGGGCCACCCTGTGACCCCCATGGCAGGTGGAAGAGTTAGGGCAGGACGGATGGAGACATGGTTCCCTGGGTGTGTCAGTCAGCTCAGGCTGCTATAATGAAGTACCACAGACTAGAGCAAACATTTCTTCTCTGGAGGCCAGAAGTCTATGATCGAGGTGCTAGCAGGGTTGGTTTCCTCTGGGGCCTCTCCCATGGTTGCCCATCTGTGCTCGTGCACCCCTCGTGTCTCTTCCTCTTCTTTATAAGGACACCAGTCCGATTGAACTGGGCCCTACCCTGACGGTCTTGTTTCAACTTAATTACCTCCTTAAAGGCCCTATTTCCAAATACATTTCCATCCTGAAGTACTGGGGTTAGGGTGTCAACATATGCATTTGTGGGGAAGGCAGGGGCAGGTGCAGCCGATAACACCAGGAGCAAGGTAAACCCATAGCAGATTTGTGGAACTCTGAGCTGGTCATTTCGGTGAACCTGCCTGAGGGAAACAAAAGGTCCGGTCCATGTCCACTTCCGCCACTTTTTGTCTACATCTTGGAAAAAGAGGAGTGAAGCCAGGACCGCATCCCTAATCATTGCTCAGTGCTATCGTACCTAGTTGATTAAAGCAACCATGAATCTAACTGAATTCTACTAGATGCTGGCCGACACCTCCTAAGACACATGTCACTTGTCCCAGATCCCTTCCAAGGACTAGAGCCAGGTCCCTGGAATTGGAAACTTGTAGAGGGGATCAACCTGCCTCAGTGAAATCAATCTTGCTTGGTTAGCCCAGGTGCTCTGAGTCCCCTTCAGGCCTCTGGAGCATTGTAGACCCTGCAGGCAGAGTGGGGGAAGGCATGTTGAAGGCATTGTAGACCCTGCGGGCAGAGTGGGGGAAGGCATGAAACCAGTCTTGCTTGGTTAGCCCAGGTGCTCTGAGTCCCCTTCAGGCCTCTGGAGCATTGTAGACCCTGCGGGCAGAGTGGGGGAAGGCATGAACCCAAGCTGGGTTTCCTGGAATAAGTAGCTGCCCAACCGGGTCAACTGGCCCTGTGAAGTTGGAGTGTCTGTGGCAGGCCCCAGACCCTGAAGCGGCCCAAGGGACCCCCTTAGACCTTTGGAGCCAGTTATCCTGAACCCCCACCTGTGGATGAGGAAATCAAGGGCAATATGAATGCTGAGCTAGGCTTTTAGAACTGAGAGTTATCCAGTAGGTTCTCAGAACCTGCAGTTGGTGGAGTCCTCTGGGTACACATGGAGCTCCAAGAAATGAAGAGCTGTCGAGCAGCCCAGCCTGGGGCCCCTCCTTACATGCAGTGTTGGCTGGTAGTGGAAGAGGCAGCAACGTCTCACCCCGGAATCAACCAGGGAAGGACCGCTTACAGTGAAAACCTATATTCCGTCATCTGGCACTCAAGACTATCCCCATGTGACCCAATCTTTCTAATGCTCTCTCCTACTACTACTATGTATAAAAATATTTTCTCACTAGATTTATACACTCTTGCCTCCCAAAACTGCGTGCATATTTCTGCCTTGGCCCTTGCTGTTAGCTCCCAGGCTCACTTCCCTCGTTGAGTCTGCATTGACGTCTTCCTCCCCACTTGCCTGAGGGACTGTGCTACCAGTATGAGGCTTTATCAAATGCTGCCGGTAGCCCTTTTCAGAGTGACTGTGTCACGCTTCCTTGTATCTTCCACAATGTGCACATTTTACATACTTGGCGTCTGTTGAATGAGCCATTGCTTTGTGAGGCCCTGGATGGCAAGCGTGCTGTTTCTGTAAGGAGCCAGATCTCTCCTCAAGTCACCCTCCCGGCAAAATGCTGTCACATCAGGGGTCCCTTAGTGCTCGCTACAGTGAATCCCAGCAGCTTTCCCAGATTGGTCTTGTTGGCTGAGCATTTTCTGACTGCATTATCGTTTCTCTGGCAGTTCCCAAACCAGATCTAGATTCATACGTGTTTCTGAGAGTGAAAGAACGACAGGAAAACATCTTGGTAGAACCAGAAACAGATGAGCAAAGGTGAGCAACATGTGACCTTGACGGTGGGAAATCTGCCTCCACTGGGGGGCATCAGCACAGCTCTGCAGACATTATTTCCTCTTTTTTCAGGGACTATGTGATTGACTTGGAGGAAGGCTCGCAGCACTTGATCCGATACAAAACCATTGCACCCCTGGTTGCTTCTGGAGCAGTTCAGCTGATATAAAATCAAAAGTAAATACACAATGACAGCATGGAACCCTAAAGATAATGTGTAAGATCTCCTTACCGCTTTGTGCCTGCAGACGGCAGACTTTTCCAGCAGTGCTGTGGGTCACCTGGGCATTGAGGAGCTCAAGGCACGATTCCTAACTTGCCACACGTCCTCACTGCCATCCTAGCCACAGTCAGCAGATGGAGCCATCGCTCTGCTGATTCCGCGTGCTGGCCGCTCTGGCCGAGCCCTCTGAGACGCTCACTTTGTGCGCCTTTTTCCTTCGTGGTATTTCTTGAGCTAAGGGAAGTGAGGCAACCACAGTTCATAAACAAGCCTCGCTGCCTATGATTAGGGGGCAGTAGTTAGCCCTGACCTGAGGGTGACCGGACAGCTCTTTCACCTCCCCAGTAAGAAGAGGATAAATGCAGTAGAATAACAGAAGATGAAATATCTTCTAGATTATCTCACTGGATTGTGTGAACTAACCTTCTGGAACCTCAGATACTGGACTTAAAACCAATTTCTGCCCTGGTGGGTACTGAGAGTCACAACTAAACCAAGAAACCATTACTGAGTTTCAGTTTTGTGCCAAAAGGAGCCTCCGGCCAGTTCTCAGTTTGTAGCCTAATGAAGTATGTATTCCCTGCTGCTAACCTGCAGCCTTCCCCGAATCTCGGGCAGTTTTGCCAAGCCAACCTCCAGGCCATCTGGCCATTCTTGGCCAGGGATCTGCTAACAGCAACATTAACTATCCTATCTTGTGACCTTAGTAACAGCGTTTCTGTTTTTAGCTCTACTTTCTCAAGGGAAGCAGATGAAATTAACATGAGCAGAGAGTATCACAGTGATACCTGAAGGAAGGATATAGAGACAGTGGAGCGGTAGAGCTCTATGCCGTCACCAGCTCCCACCATGTACGTGCCAGGCTGCACAGAAGACTTAAAGGTCTCTACAAAACCACAGAGTGCATTGCTCCATTTCCTAGGCCACCACTTTAAAGGAAGAGGGGTTTAAATCAGTTGTTTTAAGATAAAGGGGAAGTTCAATTTCAAAACCAAGTAGGAAAGGAAATGAAGTGGCTTAGTGTGACATTGACTTCACTTTTCCAGTTTGTGGTATTTTGCTCCATTGATAAGAACTCATCATGAAAGCATGAGAGATGGTTTTTCAATAATTGCGTCATACTTCATCGTAAGCTTGTTGTTAGCAAGATGGCTCTTCCTGAGAAGTGCTGGCAGGTCCGGATCTGGGTTTTTCCAGCCACAGCAATCATGATTCAGCTGTGACCTTACAACAAGGTCAGCTGTTTTTACTCTGTGCTCAGGCTCCAGCAAGCAATGTAATGTGACTTTGGTGCCGTCAAACTTCCTTATGTGAGGTACACAAGTTAACCATAGAGCTTTCAGAGTAAACTGTTAAGCATGCACATTGTTTATCCATTCTTAATATAATGTTCTTTAATTTTTCTTGGGAAGCTAAAATTCCAAACATTTGAAATGCTTCTAGAATTGATTTTTTTATATATTGTGGTAAAAGACACATAACATAAAATATACCATCTTGACCGTTTCTAAGTGTACGGCCCAGTGTATTAAAGAGATTCACATTGTGCAGCCCGCACCACTGTCCAACTCCGTAACTTTTCATCTTGTAAACCTGAACTCTTCACCTCTTTGACAATAGCTCCCCTTTATCTCCCCTCCCCGCCAGCCCCTGAAAGCCACCATTGTACTTTCAGTCTTTATGGTTTTGACTACTCTTAAGTACCTCATATAAGTGGAATCAGAGTATTTCTCTTTTTGTGACCAGCTTATTTCACTTAGCATAGTGTCCTTGAAGTTCATCCATGTTGTACGTATTATGTGTCAGAATTTCTTCCCTTTTTTTTTTTTAAGATTTCATTTATTTGAGAGAGAGCACGAGCAGGGGGAAAGGCAGAGGGAGAGAGAAAGGGAGAAGCCAACTCTCGGCTGAGCAGGGAGCCCAACATGGGGCTTGATCCCAGGCCTCTGGGATCATGAGCTGAGCTGAAGGCAGACACTTAATCGACTGAGCCACCCAGGCGCCCCAGAATTTCTTTCCATTTTAAGGTGAATAATATCCCATTGTATATGTATAGATCACATTTGCTTATTCATTCATCTATCATTGAACAGGGTGTGTTCAGCATGGGTTGCTCCACGTTTCAGCTATTAAGAATAATACTATAGAGGGGCGCCTGGGTGGCTCAGTTGGTTAAGTGACTGCCTTCGGCTCAGGTCATGATCCTGGAGTCCCGGGATTGAGTCCCGCATCGGGCTCTCTGCTCGGCAGGGAGCCTGCTTCTCCCTCTGACCCTCCCCCCTCTCATGTGCTCTCTCTCTCTCTCTCATTCTCTCTGTCTCAAATAAATAAAATCTTTAAAAAAAAAAAAAAAAAGAATAATACTGTAGGGTGGCTCAGTTGGTTAAATGTCTGCCTTGGGATCCAGCCCTGCGTCGGGTTCCCTGCTCAGCAGTGAGCGTGCTTCTCCCTCTCTTTGACCTTCCCCTCACTCATGCACTCGCTCGCTCGCTCGGTCTCTCAAATAAATAATAAATAAATAAAAGAATAATACCATCAATATGGAAGTACAAATATCTCTTTGAGACCCTGCTTTCAATTCTGTAAACCCAGAAGTGGAATTGGATCCTATGGTAATTCTGTTTAACATTTTGGAACCATTCTAGTGTTTTCTGCGGCCACTGTACCATTTTACATTCCCCACCAACAGTGCAGAAGTGTTCCAGTCTCCAGTTTCTCTACATCATCCCACTGTTTTCTATTTTTGTTTTATAATGACCATCCAAATGTGTGTGAGGTGGTATCTCATAGTTTTGATTTGTATTTCCCTAATTATTGGTGATGTTGAGCATCTTTCCATGTGTTTACTCGCCTTTCCTCTATCTTCTTTGGAGAAATGTCTATTCAAGTTCTTCACCCATTTTTTAATCAGGTTGCTGGTTTTTTTGTTGTTGAGTTGTCAGAGTTCTCTATACATTCTGGTTATTAACCCCTTATCAGATTTATGATTTGCAAACATTTTCTCCCATTCTGTGGGTTGCCTTTTTACTCTGAATAGTGTCTTTTGATGTACACAACTTACAAATTTTCGTGACGTCCAGTCTGTCATTTTTTTTCTTTTGTTGTCTGCGCCTTTGGTGTCATAGCCAACAAATCATCATGAAATCCACTGTCATGAAGCTTTTGTTCTATGTTTTCTTCTCAGTTTTATTGTTTTATGTCTTACATTCAGGTCCTTGATTTATTTTGAGTTAAATTTTATATATGGTGTTAGGTAAGGGTTCAACTTTTTTTTTTGCATGTGGATATCCAATCCCCCCTCACACACACACACACACACACACACACACACACACACACCATTTGTTGAAAAGACTGTCCTTTTCCCATTGAATGGTCTTGGTACCCTTGTCAAAAATCATTTGACCATTTATGTGAGGGCTTATTTCTGGGCGCTGTACTCTGTTCCATTGGTCTATATGTCTGGCTTTATGCCAATACCACACTGTTTTGATTACTGTAACTTCATAGTAAGTGCATCATCAAGAAAGTGTGAATCCTTCAGTTTTGTTTTTTCAAGACTGTTCTGGTTATTCAAGATTTTCCTGAGTTTACATGTGGGTTTTAGGATATATTTTTTCTATTTTTGCAAAAAATATCATTGGGATTTTGATAGAGATTGCACTGAATCTGTAGATCACTTTAGGTAGTATTGACATTTTAACAATATTAAGTCTCCTATTCCATGAGCATAGAGTGTGTTTTCATTTACTTAGGTCTTTAATTTCTTACAGCAATACTGTGTAGTTTTCATTGTACAAAGCTTTCACCTCCTTGGTTAATTCCTAAGTGTTTTATTTTTTATGATGCTGTTGTAAATGGAACCATCTTTATAACTTTTCATTGTTCATGTATAGAAACGTAACTAATTTTTGTGTGTTTGTATCCTGCTACTTTGCTGAATTTATGTATTCTAACAGCTTGTGAAGTCTAAGGTTTTCTACTTTTAAGATCATATCATCTGCAAGCAGAGATAATTTCACTTCTTCCTTTCCAATTTGGCTACCTTTATTTCTTTTTCTTGCCTAATTGCTCTGACCAGAACTTCCAGTACTGTGTTAAATACAAGCGGTGGAAGTGGACATCCTTGTCAAGTTCCTGATCTTAGAGGAGAAGTTTTCAGCCTTTCACCATTGAATGTGGTGTTTGCTGTGGCTTTTATTATGTGGAGGTAGTTTACTTCTCTTCCTATTTTGTTGACTGTTTTTATCGTGAAAGGGTGTTGAATTTTGTCAAATGCTTTTTCTGCATTAACTGAGATGATCTTGTGATTATTTTCCTTCATTTTTATTGATATGGCCTATTACACTGACCAAGTTTCATATATTGACCCATCCTTGCATCCCAGAAATAAATCCCACTTGGTCATTGTGCCCTTTTTGCATCAGTGCTCATAAGGGGTATTGGTCTGCACTTTTCTTGTAGTGTCTTTGTTTGGCTCTGGTATCAGGGTTATACTGGCATTGAATGAGTGAAGAAGTGTTCTCTCCTCTGACATATTTTGGAAAAATTTGAGAAGGATTGGTATCACTTCTTCTTTAATTGTTTGGTAGGATTCACCAGTGAAGCCATCAAGTTCAGGGCTTTTTTTTTTTGGATGGAATATTTTTTATTATATATTCAGTCACCTTACTCGTTATAAATCTATTCAGATTCTCTATTTCTTTGTGATTTAGTCTTGGTAGCATTCTGTGTTTCTAAGCATGTGTCCATTTCTTCTGGGTTAACCAATTTTGGTTCATGTACTTTCTTACAATCCTTTTTATCTCTCTGGAATCAGTAGTAATGTCCCCACTTTTATTTCTGATTTTGGTAATCTGTGTCTTCTTTTTTTCAGTCCATCTAGGCAAAGGTTTGTCAATTTTGTTGGTCTTTTTGAAGAACCAACTTTTGGCTTTATTAATATCCTCTGTTGTTTTTCTATTCTATATTTCATTTATATCTTCTCCAATCCTTACTATTTCTTTCCTTTTTGCATGTTTGGGATTAGTTCTTCTTTTCCTAGTTTCCAAAGTTGTAAAGTTAGGTTGTTGGTTTGAGATTTTTCTTGTTTTTTAATGTAAAACATTTATGGCTATAAATTTTCCCATTAGCTCTGCTCTTGCTACATCTCATAATGTATGAGATGTATGTATGTCGTGTTCTCATTTTCATTTGCATCTGTTTTCTAATTTCCTTTGTGAATTTCTTCTTTGAGCCAGTGGTGGTTAAGAAGTGTATTGTTTAACTTAAACAATTTTGTGAATTTTTCATCTTTTTATGGATTTCTAACTATCCCGCTGTGATCAGAGAAAATGCTTTGTATGGTATCTATCTTTTTAAATCTATTGAGACTTAATTTGTGGCCTAAAATGTGGTCTATTCTGGAAAATATTCCATGTGCACTTGAGAAGGTGTTCGCTGCTGTTGGGTAGAGTGTTCTGTATATGTCTGTTAGATCCAGTTGCTTTTATTGTGTTAAGTCCCCTGTTTCCTTACTTAACTTCTGTTTCTTCTGTTCATTGTTGTGAGGGGGCTATTGAAGTCTTCAATGGTTATTGTAAAACTGTCTATTTCTCCCTTCAGTTCTATCAGTTTTTGCTTCATATATTTTTGATGGTCTGTCATTAGATGCATAAATGTTAATAATTATTATATCTTCTTGCTGTTTTAAACCTCTTATTAATATATAATGTTCTTCTTTGTCTCTTCTAACCTTTTTTGATTTAAAGTCTGTTTTGTCTGATATTAGCATAGCCTCCTGTGCTCTCTTGGATACTATTTACTTGGAATATCTTTTTCCATCCTTATCCTTTCAACCTGTTTGTGTCCTTGAACCTCAAGTGAGTTTCTTGTGGACAGCATATAGTTGGGTTATATGTTTTTGTCCATTCTGCCAATCTGTTGATTGAAGAGTTTATGTACAAATTTAAAGTAATTACTGATTAAGAGAGACTTAGTTCTGTCATTGCGCTGTTTGTTTTTTTTATGCCCTATAGCCATTTTGTTCTTTATTTCCTGCATTTCTGTTCTTCCTTTGTGTTTAGTTGATTTTTTTTTTTTTTTTTTTTGCAGTAAATGTTTAAATTCCTTTATTATTTCCTTTTGTGTATACTCTATAGCTACTTTGTGGTCACCATGTGGATTACACTTAATATCCCAAAGTTATAACACTCTAATTTTAATTCATAGCAGCTTAACTTCAGTAACATAAAAACTTCGCTTGTTTGCAGCTCTGCCCCACCCCTTTCAGTTATTGGTGTCACAGGATTACATCTGTGTACATTGTGTTCCTAAAAATATAAACTCA